CAGACTTCAATAAACCATTCATTGTTCAGGCTGATGCATCAGACATTGGAATTGGAGCAGTACTTTTGCAAGAACATAACGATGGGCTGCTTCCCATAATGTACGTTAGCAAAAAGCTGTTAAATAATGAGAACTACCCTGTGATTAAATGAGAGTGTCTGGCCATCAGAGGGACTCCAAATGTTGGTGCAGATTGTATGAGTAGACTATGAGCACGAATTGAGAACAGTCTTTGTATATAGTAAAATATATTGTAAATATTTTTATTGAACAGGGCTTATTGTTAGATATACGCGACTGTTTCATTAAATAGTTTATATAGTGCGGGTGTCATACTTAGTTATTTTTAGAAGCAATATTTTATGGTTAGTCTGTTTAAATAACTATTTACGAATCATGCATTGTGTAGTTCAGTTGTTATGAATTAGCAATTGTTTACAATAGTGAGATTATTGAGTCACGTTGCTAGAACCATTGAATCTCTTGTTGGTTTAATTGAATACTATTGCATGAGGATACCTAGTTTTGTGTGGAATGTTCCAGACTTTTGTCGGAGTATAACTGAATGTCAAAAAATCAATAATGAGTTCTAGTTCTAGACTGCATGATCATTAGTTTAGCAACAAAGAATGTGTATTGGCGGCGATTTTTTAAAGTGAAATTGTCACAGACTTTATTGTAGTAACAGAGTTGAGAATAATAATTCGTCTTGTTCATTGTGTTCTAAAGTAATTGAATCAGACTGTGTGGACTTTGACGAAAAAGAGAGACAATTATTTAAAGCTCTGGATATAACTGTGGTAACCGACAATGTAAATAAAATCTATATATATATATTTGATTTGTTTTTAATATATTATTTTTAAAACAAGTGGGCTGTGTGGCTGTTTATTTATAGTTGAATTTTTTCACCAACCAATCACACACACACACACACTTACTGTAAAGAATCCTGCTTTACAAAACCTGTCATATACCTTTTTTGCACAGGTGGAAGAAGACAGTTTTGGAAAAAGTCACAAGAAGAACTTATCCCTCCTGTATAGTCCCAGCTGTCTAGGCTTCTAGTGATGAAATAATGGTATGAGACATGTTCTCCTGGCGTACCCTGGGCCTTTTGGTCACTTTAGAAGGCAGAATGAAGGCTCCAACTTACCCCAGCCTCATTTCTGATCAAGTGCATCAATCTCTTTTTCATGTGCACCATGATAGAAACAGTTATTTCCAAGACGAAAATGCTTCCACCCACTGTACCTAAATTATGTGTGCATGGTTTGAGGAACACGAAGGAGACTTCAGGGATCTCCCATGCTCACCACAATCAATGTATATTAATCCAATTGAGAATCTGTGGGATGAACTTGAAGTACACATTCGTTTTCACGATCCTATGCCTACCTTGCTCCATGTATTGCGTACAGTATTAATAACTGAATGAGTAAAAACCTTTAGGAAACCTTCCAGCACCTTGTGGACTCTATGCCACATCATATCATGACTGTTATTCGGGTAAAAGGTGGCTCAATCACTTATTAGGTATAGGTTCTAATAAACTGGCCAGCCAGTGTATATTGTATGTACAAATTAAAATGGAACAAAAGAGAGAAAGCAAATTAAAGGAAATTGTTAGCATGCAAATTAAACCTTTACAATGTATACACACATATATACATACATACACAAAAAATAAGAAAATATGGTTGTGATAACATTTACTGAAGTCCTGACAGCAGACCCTGCATTGCAATGTCAACTTTCAGGTGGCTTTGGTTGTATGACAAATGATCTTTCAGTCATATGTCAGGGTCTTATGGGTCTAGGCCAGGTCATCATGGAGATGCTGCACTTCTTATTCCAACTGTGAAGGAGGGTCCCTATGCTTTAAGATTTAGTGTTCTTCCATGTTGTAAAGTTCCCAGGCCTCTGCTCCATCTGGCTGCTTGTCACTGACAATGGTGATTTAAAACTGGGATCTTCTGAATCATAATGTGGTCTTTAATCTCTAACTTTCTCAGCCAGTGGGGTTGTGTATGGGACAGATTAGTTGGTAGATGAGCAGAAGCAGCAGTAAATGTACCCCCTTCTTTGATATTCAAGGGTGTTGGTGTTTTTCCTACTAATGGTTGAGTGGTAGTCACTTGGGCCCATGGTTTAGTCGACGTATGTCAACATTTTCAGCATTTAGGTTATATTTGCAAACAGTTCACCTCTGGGAAAGTTTTCTTTAGTCAAGGAACATGAAGGTCACATTAGAGGTGTAAACATAAGATATTTGTGATCATTCTTGACCAGACAAACCTACTATGAGGCACTACAAGCAGGCTCTCTGAAGTCTCAGGTTTAGTTGGGGCTGGACCCAGCATCACTATCATTTCAAATAGCATGTAGATTGGGCTACAAGATGTTGGCTTCCATGAGCAGTTTGGTTCCCACAGGCTGCAGTGATGGGCCACTGGAAACATCAGGGCCAATCTATTGAGGCTTTGGTCAGAGCAAACAAATATAAGAAGTCAGTGAGCAACAGGTCATCATCCATTAGCTCTGATTCCACTGGATCAAAAGTCATGAAAGCTCCTAGTGAGGGCAGTGTATTTGGTGACATTGGTTAAATCATGAAAATGAAAAACATTCAGAATAATCCTTTTCAATCTTAACAAGATGCAAAACGTGGGAAGACAACTGGCTAGTTGGGTGAAGGGTTTGATTTTAAATAGAAAAAAAAAAAGGATTGAAATGTAAATCAAATGAATTATAATTAGTCAGAAATTCAGCTATAAGTATAAGTTTAAAGTTATAATGGTCCAATTATGACATTTTTCTGGCGCAAAGTTGCTTTTATACACAGAATGTGAAAATTGCTGCCGTGGTCAAATAACATTTATACAGGCTTTACTTGTACTCATCTGTTCATAATGTATTTCTTGCACCTGTGGATTTCCTGATCCCCTATATTTCATCAAGTCTCATGCTTGACCAACACTCAGCTAACAAAGCTATCCTGGAACTCTACAACATTTCCTTCACTGCTATATGGTTGTTATACAGAACTTGGATCCATCAAGAAGGAAATGGGGAGGTAAAACAGAAATAACCAAAACAAGCTAGCCACTATATAAGTGCCAACTTATAGCTTCTCATCATGGGTATCCATTACAACCAAAATCTCACTTCCATTACACTCCTTTCAGATACAATTACACGGGCACTGTGTGGGTGTTACTTCCTGCCTCTGGTTGTACACTTACAGTCTACGTTTTCATGAATTTAAACTTCAGTAAAATCGAGTGCATGATTAAAAACATTATGCCATGATCAAATAAAACTCCGAGTACACCATTTGTACCATTCTGACAAAAAAGTAATTATAAATATATTTAGTTAGCTGATGTACTTGTTCAATGCAGGAGAAAAGACACCTGGATCCAAATGCTGACCAGTGTATCACTCTCCTGGGTGCCTTCAAAATTTAGCAGTGGCCAATAGAATAGTAAAAGGAACACATAGGGCTCCCTAGGAATGACATGAGATATGATCAGATATGACTGACAAACTTCCTAGGTCATTCTCCAAGAGATCTGAAGAGGTACTTGCCAAGTTTGGTTTAGTTCGGTCAAAAATTACTGGTATGAAAGGCAGACACGTAGAAACACCATGGTACCCCATAGGGGGCATCAAATCTGAATATCAGCTCCCAGAAAAATTTTGGAACAGGAATTCTGATGTGCAACATATCCATAATTTGCAATAATATGCTTTGGGAAGTTTTTTTGTAATTTATTTAATTAACCCTATTCTATGTAGGGTCTTCAAGATTTGGTACACAAAGGAGTAGATTCCAGAAACTGAGGAGGAAAAGTTTGAAAATGATGTCCAATGCTTTTTTACAAAGTAACCAAGTTTTTTAATACAAGAACGTATTGAAGAAACAGGCTCAAGGTTAAAAAAAAGATTATTTGATATGTCAGCTTTAAAATGCATCTTAGTTCAATGTGTGCATATTACCAGCTCTAAGATTACCCAATTGATTTTTTTTGGTATGTTGCTTGTTTATTAGCTTATGTTAATACAGCATATAAGAGCTATTTTGGAACTCCACTGGGTTCTGTTTGCTAAATTCTATTACCAGTGGGAAAGTCATCTCTTTCCAGAAACTTCATGTTATTTGTTTTAAGTTTTGGGTTTTCTAATGTTCTACCAAGAAATAATTACTGTTGTTAAGGGACTGAAATTCACAAACATAAAGATCATAACTATATTATCAACAATGGTATAATGGGATCAAGAAACAAAGGCAGTCTTTTAAACAACCCTTCATGAAAACAGTACAAGCAAAAGAAAGTAAGTCTTCTCAAAATAGCAACTTCAGTAATCTGGTTACACAAGATGTTATTTAGCCAAAACTGTGATTTATAGCATACCCAAAAATGTTATGATACTGAGTGTTAAAAAAGATACCACGTTAAATGGTAAAACTGTAATAAATTATAGTGTGTAAAATAGTACAACAGTGGTCCCCAATTATTTTATAGACTGGGACACTTCAGATGGTGATGATGAAGCCAAAAGCCAGGCCTAAGCTTGCAGGAGAATATATCATTCCCTAAATACAATTTTGTTTTTGTAGTATTTGATCAAAGCATTATTTGTTATACAAACAATATATTTAATGGTACCATGTGTTATATGATACTATATTACACATTTAGTGCAATAATCATACACTTTATTATAACTGCCCAGATGAATCACAATTTGTAGATAGTTATGACTGAATGGCTTCAGCATTTCTAAGAAAATACTATACAATGTGAGATACTTTTAAACGAAAAAAAAAAAATGGTTTGAAATATGACAATCTATTTTTAAAATTTTAAAATATTTTCTACAAAATGTTAAAAACACCACCATAAAAGTTGTAACTGTCACAATATTTGGCAAATAAATAAATAATTTTATTCCCAACCATCATTGAGAAAAATAATAAAACTGTCAGACCAAAATTAAATCCACATGTGAAGAAAAACCTGGTTTTATTTTCACCTTCACCAGTTATGTAGAATACAAGATATGTAAAGAATTCACCAAGTTCACCTAACTTTACTGTTGGTATTATGCATTAGGGGCTAATTAAAATAAGACAAACACAACAGTCTGGTTTGATTTCCATCTCCAGTACAGTAATTAAAATCCTCTCATATAACCAGTGTGTTGCAGCTTTATACATAACACCCAAAAGCATCAGGAATAACAACACTTATTATAATTTAACAAATTTGGATCAATCATTAAACCAATTAGCACGATATTGTTTTAATGTTTACACTTCAAAAATCACCTTTACATTGTTCTGCTGAAATAGAAAAAAAAAAGAATGCAAGGGAGAATATATATATCAATCACTCTAAAAATCCCAATTTGAAAACCAGAAAGATAACTTCCAAAATCCTAGAAAATCATAAACTTTAGGAATAAATTTGTTTCTTATTTGACAGTGTGTTCACTTTATTTTTTATTTCTCTGTGATGAGTGTTTGTAAAGTACAATTTTATGGAAAAGTCATAAAATAAAATTTTTTTCACCTTATGAGGTTACTTGTGGTGTTGTGGTGCAAAAGAAAAAAAAAAGCTATGATGAAACGTACTGTTTTTTGTAGTTTTTTTTCCAAAGGTGGATGAGAAACATGAATTAGATGAGTTTTCTTTTGCTGCAAAATATCAAACAAATAACTTAAACACCCATGGAAAGGAATTAAAAAAACAAACAGAATGCAGAATTTCCTACACTTTCTTGGAGACTTTGGGTGAAAGGAATTATAAGTATTTTTTGAACTACTAAGCACTGCATATTTTAATCTTCCTTACAAACAGTTTCGTATTTTTTCCCCTGTAACCTGTAAAACAACTGCATTTTTATCAAGTACAGAATAAAAATTAATGGATTACTTATACATAACATGAAATAATTACAATACTCCTTGGAAGAAAAATATATGTTTTTGTACGTATAAGTCATACTGGCAACTGAAAATCTGTGACACTTTTCATAGAAGTTGCTTGTGAGATTGGCTTCATTGCTGTGTAAGATTCTGTTATGATGAAGATAATAAACTATATAAATATATATAAACTACCTTCAACACTACGATTATCCTCTAAAAGGCTAATTTCTTTATTTTATCTACTTATTTATTATATATATATATGTGTGTGTGTGTATATATATATATATATATACAACTTAAGAAAAATCAGGAGCTGTGTAAACACCTTAGTGATTTGTTAAATGTAAAGTTTAATGAAGACACATATCACAATTGTAACTATCATAGCACTGTTATGGATTGACAGTCACGTGTTTGGCTGCTAAAGATTATTACGTATAACAAAGTTGAAACTAATCACAAAAGATATATATAACACAAAGATGCTGTTTGATGTGAAATCAAAAATTCTTTTAAGGAGAAACATTAAAAAGATTATAACATTCTAATAAATTCACAAAGTTGATGTTGAACTGCGAATGCTGTTTTAAAAACACAAAAATAGAAATTTATATCTCAGTTGTTTTCTATTGCTTACTGAAAAAATTGAGAATTGAAGTAAATTCCTTACAAGATACCAGCATACAAACTTCTGTAATTTGATTGACATGAACAGTGTTTCCTTTTCAGTTCATGCATCGCTTACATGGAAGTTTACAAGAAGAGTACTTTAGTTTTCTGAAGTTTAACATTGAAACTGGGAAAACATAAACGAAATCTTATGAATAAGATTGTCATTTAACTACACTGAACATATAATTAAGCTTTCAAATCCTTTCAAACTATTTAATTAATACATTTGGTTAAATCCCAATTATTGCAGCTCAGAATGAAGTTAAATGTGGAACTTCCATATTCTGTTGAATTACTGTTCAAACTGGGTTATGATGATAGAATGCAGATATGTACAAAAATGAAGCAAATAACTCCTAAAAAAAGTAAGAAGAAAAAAAGAAGTCAAATTAATTTATCACGTCTACAAACATTATATTGGTTATCTTGTCTTTGCTACATAAAATAATTAAAAAAATGCTGAATTCATTAAGCACTGTGATTATGGATTACCTTTACAGAACATTAAAAACTGGAAAGTTTTGAATAATATGCAATGAATAAAAATTCATGCTGAGGTAGATTTTGAGGAGCAATTTTTTTACAGTATTAGATGACAAAGGTAAATGAACAAACAATGAGTGGTGATAATATTAAACAAAAAATAACTCAAAACTATATGAGCTGAAAAAATTCCAATAGACAATCAGGATATTATAACCTTTAACAGGTGATACTATTTACTTACAGATCAGTGTACTTCTAAGGCATCTTACAATAACCTAAGTAAAAAATGATGCATAATTTGAAGCTTGAATATTTTAATCAAATTTCATTTTAAAAGTAAGTTTTTCTAATCTGAAAAAAAAAAAAGAGTGAGTTCTAGAATAAGTTACAAATCTTTTGGGTTTACAAGAACTAATTGTTTTTGTTCCAATAACAACTTAGTGGCAAACCTCAACAAACAACTGCACTATTTCATTAAATAATTACTAAAAATTTGTTGTAAGAAATACAAGAACAAACATTATTCTGTTATGTATTAAGTCCAGTTTACAGGTAATAAGTTCTTACAAAATGATCTGAGAAAATACAAACTTGCAATTTTGAGTTTAAAACTTATATTTGTTTTGATATTTTGTTAGTTTTTTAGTGCAAGGTAACACAATAGGCTATCTGCATTCTTCTTTCCACCTCAGGAGAATCAAACCCTAAATTTTGGTATTTTAAGTCCTCAAACTTACTGCTGATCTGATGGTAGACTTTTTTTTGAGAAAACTAATTCATAAATTTTAAGTGTTATAAATAGGGAAAGTTTGACTCAGAAGTTTATCTTATTAACTTGTTCCGATCCATCATAAAAATAACTATATGAACTTTAGAATCTGGCCTTTTCAATCACATTTTCTGAGCGTAACTCAAGCATTCTCAATCAAAACTTGAATTAATATAATTTCTATATTATTTACAATGATAACATTGTGGACTCTCAATAAACGCTTTGAACAGGAAATATGTAGAAACCACATTATTATACATAAAAAAGGTGATTTTGTTACTTTTAACTTTTCTGCTCTATATTGTCTTGTAATTATCTGAATACTTAGTAGAAAAAGCACAAAATAATTTATTTTGGTTTGATTCCAGTATAAAATTTGTATTATCAGATAAGCAATACTGTTATAATCATACAAAAACTCAGGTAAAAAAAAACAAAAAAACAAGTATGAAAGCAAGATTTTCTTTACTAACAATGGGTAAATTGATATTAAGTCTTAGGTAACAACTTCATACCTTAATTTTATTGTCAAACAGTGAGATAAAAATAAAAATACCAAAACAACTCATAAATTTATGGTTGTACTCTTTCAAAATTATGAGGTGTGTGTGTGGGGAAGATCTCCAGGTTCTTAAAACAGTTTTTGTGTACAATACTTACAGCTGAGTTGTTTAAAAAAATAACACCATTTCTGAAGGAAGAGCACCGATGAAGACGTTGAGGAGTGAGCAGAATCTAGTTACCACCAGGAACATTGTAAAATCCTCGGACCAATCACATACAGCAAAGACCAACAGACAAACTTTAAAAAATACTTGTATACCTTATGATCTTCACACAATCTACAAGATTTCCTTCAGAACATCATTTCACATTTCTATCTTTTAACAGAATTATTCCAAGAAATTTATAAATCTTTGAGATAATGATATCAACAACTTTGGTTAGATGATCACATTTATGGAAACAGATAAAATTAAAAAGGAAAAGATACAAGAAGAAAGATAGAGAGAGGCTCAAGCTTGTTGGATATTAAAGTAAGGTTGATAAACACTTAATATGTTTCATAAATTACGTTCTAATAGCATACATAACATTGATATACTTATTAAAATACAATTTTTTACAACATTCAGCCATTAGATTTTATTTTCCAAAACCCTTGCATTAAATATTTTACAACTAGACAGGCTGAAGCAATCACGAATCACCCTTGAATATGCAAGAATATCTAGACAGGCTAAAGCAACCACAGGTTACTCTTGAATATGTTTCAGAGAAGAAAATAGTGGACAGTTCATTTAAGGAAAGATGTGGCAGTCAGAGGAGTACATGTGTTCATCACTATATTGACTTTCTACCAGTCTCTTCAAAGATCGAGGATCAGTGGGTTCCCTTGCCATTTTTGGAGCCTTTGCATTTAAAGCTGCGCTGCTTGGTAAGCTGACTGGCTGAACCATGACGAACTCTTCCTGAACTATCTGAAGCTATAGTATTATATTCAGTAGTTGGTTCTTTGTCAGTTGGAGACCCAAGGGTTAGGCTAGACATGGAAGAGGAGAGGTTCATAGTAGATGAGACACTAAGAGTACTAGGGTACTGGCTTAGCTCCTGGAATTCACCTTCATCAGCTGGAAGACAGGTCTCAACCATGGCCTCCAAACAGTTCACAAAGAGCTCAGCATTATCCAGGTTTGTCTGACTCTTAAAATGTAAAAAAACATAAATGTCATCACTTTCAAGTTAAGAATATCTGGAGAGAATGGTATTACAAAACCATTAAGTAGTTAGACAAAGTATCATAATTGGTGTATTGAATCTGTTTTGTAACAATACAAACCTCAAAAATGAACCAGACATTTTCTTTATGGTACAAACATTAAAAACAGTAAATAGATTTTAACAAGTGTCAAGTACTAAATGGAACCATTACATACTAAAAAGTACTAAATTAGTATATACAAATGAAGCAACTTTCTGTCTACAACAAAGGGAAGTTAGCAAGCCACCATAAACCATTAAAGCGTACTACCAGGGTATATGTTGGAAGCATGTCATCAGAAATAAAGATTCACTGTGGTAAGTCATGGACAATTCATATACCATGTACCTTAAGCACATTTAAGCTATGAATAAAAACTTAATTTTTTAACAAATGTTAACTTAAAATCTGAGAATTTTTATTTTAGGTGAAATGTATACCTTACAACTCAGCTACACATCACTATACAGGCTGAACATTACAAATTGGCTAAATGTCACTGATCATGCTTCAACTTACAATTACGTTACTGATCACTAACCCAGCTGACTCTTACAGCTTAGCCACAAAACGTTAGACAAGAAAGTATTACAACTCAGCTATACACTGCTAGACAGGATAGTGTTATATCTAAACACATCTACAGAGTACAGTATTATAACTCACCTATACACCACTCTTTATGATAGTATTATAACTCAGCTACACACAAATAAACAGGATAGTCTTATATCTCACCCAAATGCCACAAGGATTGTATTATAACACAGATACACACCACTAGGCATGATAGTATTATAATTATGCTACACACCACTTGAGAGAATAGTATTATAACTCTGATACACAAAATTTGAGAAGATAGTATTATAACTCAGCCAAACACTACTAGGCAAGCTGAACCTTACACCTCACCTTCACACGCAGGGTGAACCTCACAAGTAAGACACACATCACTAGGCAGAATACAGTTATAATTCAGCTAAATACCATTAGGAAGGATAGTATTATAACTCTGCTACACACCACTAGGCAGGATAGAATTATAACTCATCTAAATGTCACTAGTCAGGATAGTATTACAACTTAGCCACACATCACTAGACAAGATAATATCATAACCCATCTGCACATCACTAGATAGGATAGTATTATAACTTAGGTAAACACCACTAGGCAAGATGATTTTATAGTTCAGCTAAACACCACTAGACAAGATAGTATTATAACTCAGCAACTTCCCATTATACTACCTGAATGTTAGAACTCAACTACACACCACTAAACAGGATAGTATTATAACTTAGATAAACACCAGTAGGCATGATAGTATTATAACTCAGCAACTTCCCATTATACTACCTGAATGTTAGAACTCAACTACACACCACTAGACAGGATAGTATTATAACTTAGCTAAACACCACTAGACAAGATAGTATTATAACTTAGCTAAACACCACTAGACAGGATAGTATTATAACTTAGCTAAACACCACTAGGCATGATAGCATTATAACTCAACTACACACCACTGGACAGGATAGCATTATAACTTAGCTAAACACCACTAGGCATGATAGTATTATAACTCAGGCGTAATCCACTAGACAGGATAGTATTATAACTTAGGCATAATCTACTAGACAGGATAGTATTATAACTCAGGTACACAATACTAGGCAAGTTGAATCTTACAACTCAGCTAAACATGTTAAAACTAAAATTCAAAATATTTAATTTTGAAGACTAAACTGAATATCTGTTCATCGTTTGGGACTTTAATTTAAACAATTTCTGAAGTAAAAAATTACATATAAAGTGGATTTTATCAATACAAAAGTTTGTAGTTTACTGTAGAACAAGCAAATCAGTAATCATAAATATTAGTGATTGATTTTAAAATCATCATACAGTAAAAAATAAGAAAAACAAACAAAAACAAAAATTCTGTTTACAATGAAATTTCAGAAAATTCATAAACACAGTAGTTACTTAATCACAAGTACTGCTTCATCAAACAAATAACTTACTTTAGAAAATGGGCCAGCAAACCTCCAAAGACCTCCAAAACCAAATGCTGTAAAAAGGCAAGTAAACATGAGGCTATTAAAAAATGTTGGAAGCATTGAGAAAAAAAATCATAGTTTTTTTCGAAATATATTTAAATACAGCAATTTACTGACTTCATCAAGCTAACGAACTAGAAAAATATAACTACATTTCCAATGACTGATACATAATTTTGTGATATATTCCCATGTTTAAAACTAATACATTTCAGTGTAATATCCTAAAAACTAAAGAAAAAACATGAATCAAGCAATTTTTTGAAAAAATTATATTCAACTCAATACTTTAGAAATTAATAAATACTTAAGTATATTTATGTTCCATCACATAGATTCGTAAAATCTGAACATTAACTGAGTAAAATTATTTTTTCAAGTTTATTTTTCTAATAAATGGGAATAATTAGAATTGCACTGGGAATTATATAAATTATTTAGTATTAGGAATGACACTTGGATTAATATCCGCCTTTATTCTCTAATTTTGTTTTTTTACTAGTCAGATTTTTCAAATGAAAGCAAGGAAGAAAAGTATTATCATAAATTGAATTAAAACATAATTTAAAGTGCAATGTAAAGTTTTTTAGTTACATTTTTAAATTTGAACATTAACAAAAAAGATTGAAATAGCACAGTAAGTCTTTAAAACATAAAAGAGGATCAAGGAACTCAGAATTCGATAGAAAAGTTTAAAGCAAAAATCCTACTATAAAAAAAAATCAAGTTTGATACAGCATGTAAAAAAGAAGACCATGATCATAAAGAAGTCTATTATGCAAGAATTGAAATAAGAAACATCAAAGTAAATAAATGCAGCTGAACATTGTCTTTCAATGACGAGGAAGTTCAGGTATAAAGATGTTACTAAACATGTCGTTTGGCTTTTCAGAGTTCACAGTTATGAGAAGACATTAAACATGTCATCTGACAGTTTCCAGTCATGGGAATAACGACATTATTAAACATAACATTTGGTATTTCACATTTAAAAGAATAATGAAATGATAAACACATTACTTAACATTCTCCAGTTACAAGAATAGGTTCATTACACATTTCCCAGTCATGAGAATGGGAAATTTTAACTTGAACTACATCTTATGTGTACCTGGACTATACAGCCAAGTTAGAGGATTTAGGTATACCTATCTCTAATTTCAAAATACCGACCAGATGGAAGGTAGTTTTCCAGCAAAATTGTAAAAGGGAAAATAAATTTTAATAATACATTTTGTTTCATAAAAAAATATTCATTGCATGTTTTTAACTGAAGATCCCATGAGTTCTAATTCACAAGTTTCCTATAGCCCTATTCACCTAACATTCCCTGTCATGCATCTCTATGGTAGAGGCAATTCAGTTTTAATGATTACTTTAATAAGGTTGTGGAGATCAGATATCTATTGTTGTCATAGTCAGTAGACTGTATGATCATCCAAGTCTAATCATTAATTAATTACTTTTTAATTACTAATTACTTTATGTTCCTTGTTTCAGCTGCTAATCTGTTGCCATCTTCAGATGAAAAGGGCTTCTGACAGTAGGGGCTGGGATTCAACCTTGGGCTTTCTTGTTAGAGAGACTGGAGTGCTATTCATTTGACTTAGGTGATCATATAGGCTACTAACCATGACAATCAGTTCTAATTACATTTACCTAAACTTGCATTGCACACTTCTGATAAAAATGCCTGAAAGCAGATCATTTAAATGTGTTAATTATTATTATTATATATTATGATTACTATTTGTTTGATGTAACCATTTTAGATTAGTTGTTTTATGTCTATTTAATTATATTTAGTGCGTTGTTTGTTTTTCCATACATAGCAAATAAAAACACAGATGTTATTAGATTCACATAAAGCTACATAAATCCAACAGAATCAAAGCATTTTTCTTACTCTGTAGATAATGAAGCTGTTGTTGGTTAGAATCATCACAAGCTATCATGTTTTGGATGATACTCTGGACTGCACACAGTATAATCTGATCATGGCAAAGAGCTAGAACACTGTTGATCTTAGCATCCATAAGACTATGACTGTTAAAAAAATCAAAACTGTTTTGTTAAAAACAGAAAGGTAACAAGATGCTGGAGGAATAAATAAAGATTATCTAAGTATAAACCATTAGCACACTTTTAATCTTAACATACAGAAGAGTGTGATTATTAAAGAAAATCTCAATTGTCCAATCTCAACAAAAAGCTAGCATGCTATTGATTGAGGAAACAAGATATAATATGGTTTAATAGTAAGACCTTCTGATGAAAGTAAGTTAACTATATATATATATATATACACACACACACACGAAACAAAAAACAAAACAAGTCATAAGTTAAATATAAACTGACTAAAGTACATAGTGTTCTAAATCAATACACAAGAAAACTAAAACATATACTGATTAGAAAGCACAAATCTAAGCATCAGTAAGACTGTGACCTTTGTCTAAAAGTAAATCAAATTATTGAATCTAATCAGAGATCTAGCACACAACTATTGGACATTAAGACTGTGGTAGTTAAAGATAAATTATGATTATTGTTTCATAATGTGAAAACTAAGAAATTTAAACAAATCAACTTCCACGTTAATAAATCTTTGATAACAGAGGGATAAGTCAAAATATTATTCAACTTAAATTTTCATTCCTTCATGAGAAAATATTACAGCTACAACATGCTACTTTTAAACCTTTACTTCAATTTACTCACATAACAGGAAAGACTTTGGGAAAAACAACGGATGCCTCTGCCAGGTAATCATAAAGTACCCTCATCTCATTTTCATCAGTTGTGTTACGAACGAGGGTAGCCTAGAAATACATTAGTGTTACATGATTATAAAAAGCAGTGATATGCTGAAATTAGATTAAAATGTTTCTTTTAGACATTCCACTGCTCTTATTGATGAAAGGCCATTTTCAAAATATTTGAATTGAATAAATTACACATTCACTTTTCATATGTATTATAAAATAGTTTTTAAATGTTTTCTTGGTTTATCAATTGAAAGCCTTACATCTAAGAGTGTAATATTCATTACTCTTAAAGAGAACTTATTCTCTGTTTTAGGCCTTTTCCCACAAATTCCTAACCCTAACATACACTTATATACGACTCTCAGGGTTGAAATACTAGATATATATCCATAGTTTAATTACTAAATGTTATATACACACACACAGGTATATATAGTACTTTATGACGTCTGATTTCTCAATGAAGAGGTTATATTTAAATCACAATAATTTTTATAATATTTTGACTCAGAAGTTCCTGCTGCAAGAAGCAGTAAAATACTGTTGAAGGACCACTGTAAGCAAATAACCACTAAGTACTAACTAGATTATTGCAGTAAAACACTGTACCAGGACCATAAGCAAATAACCATTGAGGTGATTATTACAGTAAAACACTGTTCAGGAATCATATTGTAAGCAAATAACCATCAAGTACTAAGGAGACTATTGCAGCAAAACACTTTTCCAGGAACATGTTATAAGTAAATAACCACTGAGTACTAAGGAGATTATTGCTGTAAAACAATGCCCCAGAATTATACCGTAAACAAAAAAACAACAAAAAACTACTGGGTATTAAGGGGATTATTGAATAAAAATACTCATGAGGGACCATAATGTAAGAAAATAGCCATTAAAGCACTAAGGAGATTATTGCAGTAAAAATACTGTTCATGGACTACATTGTAAGAAGGTAACCGTTAAATATTAAGAAGATTATCAATGACCCAAGTAAAGGCTAAGCCATATTAGAAACTATATTATTAGGAAGATAGTATATATATATATATATATATGTGTTAAAGATTTATTTTATTTTTCACCAGAGGTGAAATTGAAAAGATAATCTGTGATGTAGAGGTCTAATGCATTCCCTGATTGGCTGTAACCTCTGATGTGGACTGCAGTTTTGCCTATTCACAAGGCTCATCAGTACAGCTTGGGTCAGCAAACCAGAGAAATACATTTAGGCCTCTTATAATGGTGAAGTGTATATAATATCATAGACAACAGGATGATACCTTTCTTTTGCTGTAAAGCTCGTGAACTGTACTAGTCTTAAAAAATGTAATTATTTTTCTGATTAGAAAAGAATAAGTAAATGTGAAAAAACTCTTAAAAGCTAGACTTAATACTTTATTTCTGCAGCTTCTTCAGCATTTTAGAAACTCTCTGATTTTTACACATTAATTTGTTCAGCTTAATATTTATTTTTAATTTATAATAAACCCATATAATGTTAGTGTTTGCAAAAGGAAATTATTATTTATTTTATGGGCTTAATCAAATTATATTTCAAAATTCACTGTCAAAATCCTGCTGGTTACATAACCAGTCTCTATATGAATTTTCTTAGCTTTGTATTAACATATTAGATCTATTTTCTTAATA